GAAGCCAAGGATTGCCAACAGCCACCTGAAGCTGGAAGGGGTAAAGAACGATTCTCCCTAGAGCCTCCAGAGAAAATGCGGCCCTGCTGACACCTTGATTTCAGACTTCTGGCTTCCAGAGCTGTAAGAGAATAAAATTTTGTTGCTTTAAGCCACCCAGTTTGTCTTAATTTGTTACAGCAGCCCTAGGAAGTTAATACAACCCCACAGTCTAACTAAAAGCTTCAGCCTCAGGACCCTTGACCACCTGGTAGACCTTTACAAACCAGAAAATTTCCTTTCTGTTTAGAAGGTGTGATTGTGACAGAGGCAGAGCCCAAGCTCAGGCCATCAGTGGATCCTTCCTCTCTGTACTCTTTGGCACTAAAACACCACCTTTACCCAAACCAAGAAAGTGTCCACCAGAATGAAACAGTGGACTGACTAATCAATAGAGCTGGGTCTTTGGCCAAGACCCAAAGGCTCTGAGAAGGAAGCAAGGATGCCAGCAGGGTCCTGTGGGAACTGATGGTTTGGGGAAAGGGAGGACAGTGAGTTGCTCTGTGGTGGTGGGCACAGATATGGCGGGGACAGTTGTTGTCTAAACAGGATTTCGACCTTCAGGTTCCCAAAAGAGCCGGTGGTGCTTTGGGACATTCAGCTTGGCCTTTAGGGTGGGCTCACTGGGGCTGACACACTGTAAGGATTCACTCATCAAGGGTTCCTTAAAGCACCTAGTACCTGCTGGCTTTGCTCTGCACTGTACCCAGCTAGGCACCTCCCAGGGCACAGTAAATGTCTGCATCTCTGAACAGTGAGGATCCAGCCTACCTTTGAAAGCATCAGCCTTCAGGTAATTGACTTTCATGTATATGCTAAGTGTCTCTTCCCTGGGGAATCCTTACCTATCCCCGTAGGCGAGTCAGGTTTCTCTATTTCAGCTTCTCCTTTGCAGGACTGGTCAACACTGTAATGATGATGTAACTATCTGTGTGGCCTGCTTTTCAATGTCTTTCTTCCTGATAGCTGTCAGCATCACAGTAATTAGCCTGGTCCCGGGCTCACTGTAGGTGTCCAATAATGAGTTGATGAACTAAACAGGTCATTTCTCAGACCTGTCTGAGTTTTTGGAAGGCACCTGGGAGAAGGTTCTTATCTTGTTTTGAGGAGAAAGTTTCATCTGGTGGTTTCAAATGCTTTGAGAGCACCTACAGCCAGGGGCTCAGGCTTCATCTCAAGAGAAGGAAACAGGATCAAAGAGAAAAGGCCCAGGCCAAAAATAAGGCTGTGTGGGGGAGGTAGGGGGAGGAGAGGGTGTCAGAAGGATTGCCAGAAGCCAAAATTCCACAACTCTCCTCCACTAGGAGGGATTCTTCTGCAAAGTATCTTATGTCTTGGCTAAGATGGCATCCCATACGTCCTTTCTTATAACCCTCCCACCCCCAAACATTTTAATTTAACTTTGCAAATAGCATTCACATGAGCTGGACTCGAAAGTTATCCAGAATTTATTCAAGTACAAAGGGGCACCTGACTCATCAGAAATCCTCCCCCAGAAGGGTCTCTGCTTATGTGAAACGAAAGAGAGACTTGCAGAAAAATGTGGTAAATCCAGGGTTGCAGACTGTTTGCCAACAGACTTCCCATGCAAAATAAAGAAATAACGGTGCCCACCTCAAACGGGAGAAAATGAGAAAAGGCACGTAGTGCACTCTGCACAGTACTTGGCTGCAGTGCCAGCTGGGCACGGAACCGCACGCAGGCCATGTTAAAGTTTTTAAGACCTGGCTCCTGTAACCTGCAGTACGATGAGTCAGTCGCTCCTTTTCTCGCACGTGTTTCCCTGTCCACCAAAGGCAGTCTACCTGTGCCTTGGTTGTACCTGGGGGCCCTGTGGACAACGTACCATTCTAAGATAGCACCCGGGGAAGAAAAGGCAAGCTTATGGTCATTTACTATTCACTGTCATTAAGCATTAGGTTTTCACAAAGGCTGGGCAGATTTCAAAAGATGCAGCCAAAGTCCTTGGCATTAGCTCTCCTGGGGCATTTCAACGCAGCGTTGTTAGAAGATCTCTTTGGATTGGGTGAGGAAGGGGCAGGGGGGCGAGGAAGGAAAGCATGGAGAAAGGAAAGCATCCACGGAATAGAGTACAGAAGGAGCCGGCAGTTCAGAAGGGCATTGGGTCCCCTCAGTTTTCTCCTCTTCTCAGGGCCCTGCCTCTTGCCTCTTCTCTGAAGCTCCATGAAGGAGGCCCTGCCTCTTCCTTTCTATAAAATCCTGCTCTAAAGGAACTGCCTTACAGATTTGTTTATACTAACATGTAAATGACTGCTGGGGCTTTGTGCTGCTCATTTTTATAAGAAAACTTCCAGCCAGAGATGATACCTTCAAGTGAGTGGGGGAGGTAGAGAGCCTTCCCAGTGATTCAGAAATCACACAGCCTGCTCCATCCAGAGAAGAAGCGCTATTCTCCAGACTGGCCGTGGCAGGGCCCCAAGCTATTTGGGTTTAGCTGAACTGACTGAGCAACTTCTGAACCCTCCATCCTCTTCCTGGAAGTAGGGAAGTGGGCAGGAGCACGGTTGTCGGAGGGGAGGGCAGGGAGCTGGATGGAGCAGAGGTACATAAAATAGGGGGGTATTAATCTCTCCAAATGCATGTCTCAAGGAAAGCGGGGCTGCCAGCGAGGAAAGCAGAGCTGTTTCTTCAAAGCACGACTTTCCATGAAATGGAAGTGGTTGTGGCCTTCTAGCTCTTTGAGGTACCCTCAGCCTCCTCCCTCAGGTCCTCCTGCTCCAAGAGACATCTCGGTCATGGCCAGTGTGTTGGACAGCAGCTTGTCACATGGGCAGGTGCAGCCACTTGGATACTGCCCAGGACCCCCATCTGACATGTGGCCTGGGACCAAAGTAAGGGCTGGATCAGATTATGCTCCCCAAGGGGTGGGAGTGCGGGTGGATTCAGGTTACCAGAGAGGGTCAGAGCAGAGACAGTGAAAAGTACTGGCAGGGAGTGCCACCTGCCCTCTGCACAGGGCAGTCCCCCAGCAGCCCGCCTCATTCAGGACAGCGGCGCAATGCAGGGTGAGAAAGGCCTGGAGGCCTCCAAAACAGAACAGAGATGGGTCAGAGCCAGTCCAGGAACACAAACACCAGTATATTTCATGTGCATGAATGTGAAAAGGAAGAGACAGAGAGACCAACGGAGACACGGAGCAGGCAATGGGCGCACAAACTGGTCATGTGTCCTTCTCAAGGGCTGCCCAGTTGGGAGATGGTCCCACCCCTTCAAAGCCCCTTTTGTAGAGCCAGGGCCTGCAGCCCCTCCAGGTCTGGGGTGGCCTCAGGGTGGAAGGCACTCGCGCTGCCTCGGCTATAGCTCCTCCAGGGCTGGGCCTCTCACCTGTCTGCATCCCCTGATGATGGTGTCTGCACAGCCCAGAGCCTCATAAATGCAGATTCTTGTGAACTCACCCACTCTGCAGCTGCCTCCCCAGGAGACCCATGCAGAGTGAGGAGCCAGGACAAAAGGGCTTTATCGGCACTCCCTAGGGATTATTGCTGTGAATAAGCATAGGCCATCGTGACTCACTGGCATTAAAGAGGGGACAGGGCACAGGGGACGGGATGCCTAGCAGACATCAGAAGCGGTTCAACCATGCAGGGCAGTACGCTGTAATCTGTAACTCAGAGATGCTGCCGTGTCCAGTGGAGAGAGGCCCAGCACACCAGAGGCTCAGGAACAACCACAGACTCTCCCTGCCAGTAACCCCACTGCTTGGCAGGGCTGGGATTCCTCCAAACTTTGAGGCCCTGGGCACTAAGAGATTGAGACCCTGAAGATACCCAAATAGCAAGAGTTGAAGTCTGGGCCATGCCTGGTGAGATCCGAACCTACAGATCCCGTGGTCAGGCCACGGGTTGTCACCTCCCCTTGTTGGGGGCTCTGTGCCCTATGGGGGCAAATAGGAGCAATGGGGCACCTAGATAAAGCAGGAACCCAATGTGTATGCTTCTAGGCACGCAAGTTTACTCCAGGACTTCCTGTGCTTGGGAGTTTACAGGGCCTAGAGAGAAAATGGTGCCAGGGAATGCCCACAAGGCAACATCTGGAGCAGCGAGAGCTGGCAGGCCATCTGAGGGCTTGCTCTGAGAATTACGGAGGCCTTATGTTGGGAGATGTCAACAAGCTAGCCATCAGATTCAGTGGAAGGGGAGTGCTGAGGTGGGTGGTGTGGTCTGGGGGCCCACATGGGGGTTGTGGAGGGGTGTTGGGATCCAGGAGACTGAGACAACACGGAGTTGGGAGAGGAGACCAAGGGAAGAGTTGCTCAGAGGGAACAGGGAAGCCATACCATATTCTCCTTCTGGAACCCTCCCCACCCATAGATGGAAAACAACCCACCCCCACTGGAAGCTTGATTCCCTGTTATCCTCAGAGCCCTGAAATTGGGGCCATAAAGGTATGTCTGGCCTCCACAGAGTGTAGTTCACCCTTGCAATTGAGGAGCCTGCCCAGAAAACAGGCTGGGAAACGCCCTTCATCCAGTCCCGGATAGGGCCAACTGCAGAAAAATCCTGCTACAGATTCTCCAAGGCAGACTCTCCAAGCCTTTCTCCTGACCCAGGCACCACTGGTGCCCACCCCACCCTGCCCCAGCCTGGCCTGCACCCTGGCTGGTGCAGTCTGTATCATCTGGGTGGAACAGTAAGCCAAGGAGACGCTCCACAGGTGGTATTGTCACTTTTTCATGAACTATAAACAGAGAGAGGCTATTTCTACCTAAGAGTCTTAGCGTAGTCAAGAAGATACCATTTACCATGGGATGGGCCACTTTCCAATGGAGCCCTCCCCTTGAGGAGTGAGGGGCAGAGCCGGAAGTGGCCTGGAGTAAGGATTTCACCTGTCCACTGCCAGCAATGGACCTGTCACGGGGAAGGGGGCAACCAAGATGGCAATGCCCATGAGTGTGGCAGGGTTAATACTGTTTAAGGAGCAAGGTCAGCCTCACTGGGAGAGGGTGGGGGAGAGGGGCAGCCCTAGGGTTTTGCTACAGGGCTGGGGCTATGGCAGAACCAGAACTGATCCCTTCCCAGGAAGGATGCTCCAAAGAGCCTTCCAAGGCTGAAAGTTCCTCTTCTTTTCTCCCTCACTCATTCTCATGGGTCTTCAGCACCGGCTACCTGCTCCTCCATCCCCTGGAAAGCTAGATTGCCCAACTGGCTGGAAAATAAACCCATCAGGGCATAGATAACTGAGAACTCTGCCTTTCCCCCACAGTGGGGCCACAGGACCCATCTCAGCCTGACTGTGCATTGGAGGGTATCATTCATTTTCAGCTGGGCCACTGTGGACAGGCGGCATTGCCACAGCCCATCAGACCAGGGGTGGGCAGGCATGACTCAGGACTCCCTATCATCAGGCCAGTGGGAACAGTGAGGGAAGGCTGCAAGAGGGCAGGGTGGGGCTTGTCTCAGGGTCTATCTCTGGCAGTTGCTGTGGGGGTTAGGGAGTTGGGGATGCAGGTGGGCGTGGTGATTGACGTGGATAAAAGAGCTGCTAGTGGTAAAGGCCTTGAAAATAAGAGAAAAGGGGAAACGCCACCGAACACACGGGGATTGAAACCTCCAAAAGCCCAAGGTTGGTGGGAATCCAGCACCACGGGGGGCCCCCAGAAGGCCGAGGGAGCAGCGTGGGGCCCTGGGGGAGGGGAAAGGAGCCGAGGGAAGGTCTCCCAGCCCTTGCAGACCAGCACTGCGGCCAAGCGGCCTCCTGGCTGCCCAGTCTCTCCTAGGCTGCAGCTCAGCAGGCCCCTGGGGAGGTATTGGTTGCAAGCAAGCACCTGAATATTACCTAATGGAACCAGCCAAAGCCCAACTGAATCCAGGTGAGAGGTAGGGAGGCGGCTGCAACAGCAGCCCAAAGCCTCCCCAGGCCTTGCCTCCCACCTGTGGCCCCAATCCCAACGTCCCCTGCAGGACAGATCCTGCCGCTTCCAAAGTCATCCATGAAGTCCAATCGCTGCTCAGCCACAGGCCTCCCTCCGCCAGCCTCTGAGCTGGGCCGAGGTCCACGGACCTTCCCAATGTCCCTCTGCTGCCTCCGCACCCCGCCCAGCCCCCGACCACGCCCCGTAACCCCGGCCCCCAGTGGAGGGCATGAGGATCGTGCGCGCCCTGCAGGGCCGAGGCCCGGGCGCGGCAGGGCCTGTGCTGGACCCAGGAGGCCCCACCAGCTCGGTCTCTCATCCATGGGTTCCACGAGAGACCCCGGGGCCCTGGCCTGCTCCCCACTCAGTCAGTCTTGACATGGCCGTTGGCCAGGGCCAGGGGGCCGCCGGGCTCCCCGGGCTCAGCGTCCTTGTCATAGCGCAGGCGGAGGGTGTTGCGGATGATGAGCTGCTCCATGATGAGCGCCCCGCAGAACCAGGGCACGGCGTACTCCAGGGTGATGAGCCCCATGAAGTCAAAGTCGAACTGCGAGTAGTCCCAGGGGCAGGCGTTGAACTGGCGCAGGATGAGGCCGGTGGTGAACTCCCACAGGTAGGTCCAGAGCGTGTAGATGAGGCAGCGCAGCAGCAGCGGGCAGCGGCGCCGCAGGCGCAGGTACATGCGCTCCACGATGAGGATGGACGTGCCGTAGATGAACAGCGCCCACACACTCGTCACCCCCGGGAACTTCCAGTTCAAGTTCACCACGAACTCCCAGGCCGCCGTGAACATCACCTCGCAGAAGTAGCCGTGGATGGCGTACAGGTACCAGCGGGACAGCGCCGTCAGGGGCTCTGCGGACGCCATGGCGCCGAACGGGGACGGCTGCTGGGGACACAGAGGAAGTGGTGAGGGGGGTCTCCGCTGGGACCAGGCTGGAGGGGATCGCAAACCCACCTCTACCTTCCTGCTTCCGCTTTGCCTGCCAACCACACTCTTGACCTCATTCCACGGTCCTGACGTCTTTGCTTGGCCAGGCGGGCATGAGAAACCAGAGGAAGAAACAAACAACCCCCCTCTGGCCACCTCTGAGCAGCTCTGCTCAAATGCCGCTCGGACCGAGGTGTCCACTACACTCTCTATAACAATGTTTTCGGATTACTGTTGGCCAGTTGAAGAGGGGGTTGTTCTGGCCTCCAGTCACCCCATTTCTAGGCTACTAGCTGACTTCTCAACAAGCCCATCCTCTGGGGACCCCATCTCTTCCCCCACCTTTCAAGTTCCACCTCTCTCACATTTCTGAGATCTTTCTAAGCAACCCATCACATTTGTCTCTGCGTGTGGTCACAGATCCATAAAACTTAACATTTTAACCAGTTTTAAGTGCAATTCAGTGGAGTTAAGTACATTTACATTGTTGTGCAACCACCACCACCATCCAATTCCAGAACTTTTCATCATCCCAGACTGAAACTCTGTACCCATCCCCCTCCCCCCAGCTCCTGGTAACTACCATTCTACTTTCTCTATGAATCTGACTACTCTAGGAACCTCATATAAGTGGAATCAGACAAGTATTTGTCTTTTTGTGACTGGTTTATTTCACTTAGCATAATGTCCTCAACGTTCATCCATGTTGTAACATGTGTCAAAATTTCCTGCCTTTTTTTTTTTTTTTTTTTAAAAGATGACCGGTAAGGGGATCTTAACCCTTGACTTGGTGATGTCTACACCACACTCACCCAGTGAGCAAACCGGCCATCCGTATATGGGATCCAAACCCATGGCCTTGGTGTTATCAGCACCACACTCTCCCGAGTGAGCCACAGGCCAGCCCATTTCCTGCCTTTTTAAGGCTGAATAATATTCCAGTGTGAATACAGACCACATTTTGCTTATTCGTTCATCTATTGATAGACACCTGGGTTGGCTTCCATGTTTCAGCTAATATGAATAATGCTGCTATGAACATGGGTGTGCAAATACCTTTCCAAGTCCCTGCTTTCCCTTCTTTGGGGTAGATACCCAGGAGTGGAATTGCTGAATCATATGGTATGCTATGGTAAACTTTTTGAAGAACCCCCATGCTGCTTTCCACAGCAGCTGCACCATTTTACACCCACACCAGCAAAGCACAAGGGTTCCAATTTGTCTACATCCTTGCCAACATTCATTATTTTGTTTTTTTGATAATGGCCATCCTAATGGGTGTAAAGTGGTATCTCATTGTGGTCACATTTGTCTTTAACTGCTACATTAGCTGGGGTTTTGGTGTTTAGTTTCAGTGTTGAGGGGAAACTAGTGGACTGATGAGGGAGAGTCCTCCCCTCTCCTCCTTATTCCCTTCGCCTCCTCTCTTTTAAACCCCACCAGTCTTCAAGGTCCAGCTCCCATCCTGCTTCCCTGAAGACTGACCTGGCCCACAGGCCTCTATTCTTTGCGTTAGCCCCTACCAGCGACTGTCTGGACCACTCATCTGCCCATTATCAAATGCACCCTATTTATTTTTGGAGGTACATGCCCTTAGGATCCAAATAGCCTGTGAATTTGTTGAGAGCAGTGACTGTCTCACAGTCCTCTGTTTTGCAGCCTTGGAGCAGGCCTCTTCTGAGTGGGCACTCTCTAAGTGATGCGTCTTGCTTATGCAGAGGGTGGCATGGGATAGTTCAGGGTTGCATCAAGACAGGGCCTGGGAACATGAATCCCAGCTCTGCCAACTGCCAGTGGCCATCTGGCTTGACATCTGTCAATCCTGTCTCCAAGGTGAGAGAGGGGACAGAGGTTAACAAGATAACATATGCAGTTTGCCCACCTCTGGGAATCCCAGCCTCATCTTTCTGTTTAAGCAGGCTTTGTCGCCATAATGCCTACCCACCCTTGTGCATTGCTCTGTGGTCTTCCCAGCAATTTCATTCACATTTTGGGCTCTTAGATAACTGAGATTCATGAGAAGGAAGGTAGTTTTATTCCCATTTTTTAGGTGAGACAGTTGGGGTTCAGAGTGGGGACATCATTTGCCCCATATCCCAGGGCCAGTAAATGGAACAGCTGAGGCTAAAACCAACATCTCTTGATTCCTACTTCAAAACTCATCCCACTGCATGCTACTTCCCATCTCCTAGACATGTGTGCCTTAATGGCACTCCCCTGCTCAAACATGCAATGGCTCCCCATTTCCTAATGAAGCATTATAGCATCCTTGGTCTGGCACTCAAGACTCTGTGTGATCTTGCCCCAGTCTACCTTCTCAGCCTTATTCTCACAATCCAGCTCTCCCTGTCTTACCTCCATGCCTTTGTGGATCCTATTCATTCTGTTTAGTGTTCCTTTCTCCTCTCACCTCCACAAGTACAAACACAGCTTACAGATAACCTTCAGAACAAAATCTCTTTCATTCCCCCAGCCACAACTCCTTGTGTCCTCTTCTGAATTTCCACAGCACTCTCGCTCTAGTACAGATTATTTTCTGTTATATTATGTTGATAACTTTCAGTCCCCAGCCAGATATTTTTTCCTGTGTTCTGCACCTATATATCCTCCTCCTTCCTGGACACTTCCACCTAACTGTCCCACAGGCACCTCAAACTCCTTTTCTAAATCAAACTCATGTTTCCCTCCTATGATTCCATCCTGATTGATGGCACCCCTACGCACCCAGTTAGAAGCCAGAGGCCCCAGGATCACTCTAGCTTCCTCTGCCACATCTAACGTGAGTTCCTGAGAGTAAAGGACTTTGTCTATCTGGTTCACTTATCCCAGTGTCTGGCATAGTGCCCAGCACAGTAAGTATTTAACACAAGAATAAAGACTTTCTTAATCAGTTAGCAACTGCCACATAACAAATCATCCCCAAACTCAGTGACCTAAATCAACTATCACTTACTATTTACAGCTCACGTGTCTGTGGGTTGGCAGATCTTGGCTGGCCTTGATCGTGAGACCGTGTCACCTGGGGTTTTGTTTATGCTTGGCTGGGGCAGTTTGGCTGCCGTGGCTCTGCTCTGTCTCTCGTCCTCTTCCTGGGCCAAGTGGACTAGGCTGGGCACATTCTTCTAATGGCAAGGGCAGAGGCATGAGAGTGAGCAAGCCCAGCTGCACAGCGCTTTTCAAGACTCTGGTTAAGGCATGCCCACTAACCTCCACCTGGCCAGGTAAGTCACATGGCAAAGCCACCAAGTTGGCCACTAACTCACACCCTTTCTATCTCTTAAATATCTTTGGAATCCACCTCCTCCTCTTCATTCCTCTCTTCTCTTTTGCTGCTCTGGTTCAAGCCATCAGCATGTCTCACCTGCATGACTCCAAGTCTCCCCACCCTGCCTCATTCTCTTCCAATCCACTCATCACACAATGAAAGATTCTGAAATGCAAATCTGATGTTTCTCCCCACTTAAAACCCATTAGTAGATCTTCAACACCTGCAGAGTAAATAAAGCTCAAACCTCTAGGGATGGCAGGCAAAGCCCTTTGCGACCTTCTCTGCCTCAGATCCTATCCTTCGGGTCTCTACGTTGCTGTTTTTGCTACCTGGGAGGCACCTTCCCACCACTACCTTTGCCCCCTACTCTCCCCATGCCCTCATGGCCCATGGATCCATAATCGTCCTTCAAGACCCAGCTTGTCCCGTGAAGACTTTCCTAAACACCCCCATTCCAGAGCCATCTGTGGCCCCGTCTGCCCATCTCTGCACCCAGCTCGCTTCTCCGTAGAGACAGGTGGCACCCTGCTTTGCATGATCCATCTAAAGCCAGCACTAGCAGCCGCTTAATAAACATTTGTCTAATACAAGGTCAAGAGAAAAAAGCAGGATTCAAAACTGAATATTTAACACAACTTTGATTTTGCAAAGGTATATATACATGTAAATATACAAAAAATTTAGCAACAATCATCCCTGGATGGTGATATCTTTTTTTTTTTTTTTTTGGCAGCTGGCTGGTAAAGGATGGATGGCGATTTCTGATTTTTATTTCTTTTCTATATACTCTACAATTTTTTTCTAACAAGCTTGTATAACTTTTACATAAATAAAATTTTATCTTAAAAACGCTTGTTGAATGAATGTTTACTCCTCTTTGTACCTTGTATATAGAAGATGCTCAATAAATTTGCCAAACAAATGAATCTGAGGCAACCAGAAGTCGTGTGAAATGAATGCAGGTCTTCCCTCCTGAGCCATCCCCAACCACAAACCATGACGCATAGCTTTGACTGTGGTGTAGTGATTAAGCTGAGGGGTTCTAGATCCTAACTGCCTGGGATGGAGTCCTTGCTGATACTCTCTACCTGTGGGACCTAAGGCAAGTTACCTGACTGCTCCGTCTATGCCTCAGTTTCATTATAGGTAAAGTAGGGATAATAAGAGCCACTATCACAGAAGGTTACTGTGAGGATGAATGAGCTAATAGTTACATGCTACTCAGAATACAGCAAACGCTCCAGAAAGGGTAGCTGCCATGTCTGGCAGAGAGCCAGGCTTCTGGACAGCCCGTCCTGCTTTGAGAGCCACCTCCTACCTGAGGCAGGGTCACCCTGCCTCTCCCCCGCCAGCCATCAGACAGCCGTCCCTGCCAAGGAGGTTAGGTCTTCACCCCACCCAGAGCACAAGCCAGTGAGCCAATAAACCCTGTCAAGACAATAATCCCACATACAGCCCTCGGGAGAACAAAACTCCCACAGCCAGCCTAGGAGGGTGAATGTAGCTTCCAGCTTCCCTGTGGCTGCTGAGGGATTAATTAAAGAGGAAGGGTCTCTGAGGGTCAGGCTTGAAAAGAGGGTAGAATGAAAGGATGATTCTTCCTGGCACAGCCTCTCACAACCTCATTTTATCCTAAAACACTCCCCAGTATGCTAACCCCTTGCCTCCCTGGTGAGAGTACAGACCCAGGCTCCAGGGAAACACTGAGAAGCCAGGAGAGGCAGACGTCCCAGAGGCACAGGCACAGTGATCAGAGACCACCTGACCTCCTGCCCTGAATGAGGCCCCTGGAACTCAAGTCTGTCCACCTGAGCTGCAGGCACAGGGTCTTGTCACTCAGGCCAGCCCCCAACCTTGACGCTGACTTTAAACCCTGGACTCCTTGTCTCTGATCTCACCTTTCTGGGACAGCCAAGAATGGCTTCTCAGCCAGTAACATATTGGAGCCTCTGATCTCCTCCCCCGCACCCTGACAGGCGACTTGGAAGCGCTGGACCCCAAAACCCTAGGAGCAAAGCGAGATGAGAGGGTAGCCGTCAAAGGAAGAGAGGAGCCCAGTGTGAAAGAGTACAAGGGGTGGGGGGTGGGTAGTGAAGAACAGAGAGACCGAGGCCCGGATTCCGTTTTGAGGCAGCAGGAAGCGCTTGGGCAGGTAGAGAAGCACCAAGGTCAGAGCTGGTCCAAGGGGCTGGGCCAGGGGAACACAGCTGGTCCACTCAGGATGATCAGGGGAAACTGGAGACCTGGCTGGGAGCAGAAGCTGGGGATGGACACAAAGGAATCCGAGACAGTGTCCTTCGCTGGGCTGGCAGCTCACAGTGTGGTGGGAGATGCGGGGATCAGAGTGGGTGCGCACGCTTGGGTGCATTTTCAGAACTCCACTCTCCAAACCCATTTCTAATAATCACAGGGGCTGCACTTAAGCTTTGAATTAGGCCAGACTCACCCACCCTCTGCTGAGCCCGACAGTCCCCTATTGCCTGCCCTGGCCTTCCCCCACCTGACCCCTTTACCCCTGGGCCCCCTCCAATACCTCCTGGCTCAGCTCTGGGATCAGTGTCCTGGGAAAGCCTGCGGCAGGAGGAACCAGCAGCTTGGTGAATGTTGGCTTCTCTCTCCTGGTGACAAACACATCTATCCCGAGGACTGTGACGTGAAGGCAGGACAGCCCAGGAAAGGAAATTCAGGATGGAATAAAGAGGGGAGGGTGTGGGCAAGACTGAAAGCATGAGAAAGAAATGTGGAGGGTAGTGGATGGTTTCATAAGCAGGGTTTTGGGGAACAACACTCAAATACAAGAGCCCTCATATGTACTTGCTGATGAAAGGAACCGGGAACACAGTGTCCCAGCGGAGGGCCAGAGCTCAGGGTGACCTGTCAGGGTGGGGAAGTGCCTCTCCAAGAGAACAGGGGATGGGGAAGGGGGATGGTCCCCTAGGATATCTCACCCGCTGCTCTCAGAGCCTGCTGAGCTACTCCATAGGGTGCCAGAGGCAGAGCGAGCAGTTGAGAGGGGTAAAGAGACGGACATAAAAGTCTAAGATAGGCTGGAGGCAGAACCAGATGCACTAGTTGCCCTTGGTTTTGCCAAAAACTCCCATCTTGTTCCAGGAAGCTAAGGCACCACAATACCACAACTCTGGGAATTTTTGTCCAGAGAAGCATCTTGCTAGAAAATCGGGAATCCCCTCCCATGCAGCCAGGCTAGGCAGCCCTTCCTCTTTCACCCCATCCACTCCCCATCCTCAGGCACCCAAATCACTACAGTTCCATGCTCTAGAGAGATGCACAGCCCTTCTAGGAGACCCCGAGGGCAAGGCAGTGGGGGACAGCTTCGGTGACCCTGATCCAGTCCCCCGATAGGCTCTGTGCTGGAGGTGAGTGGAGTCAGAGAGGGGAGGGCAGTTGCTGTACATCTGGCGAAAGATGCAAGGTCTGCAACCTCCCCGAGCTTCCCCTGAGGTCAAGGTCAGGGAGGAAAACATGGGCTTGCTTCAGGGCCAGAAGGGAAGCAAGTGAGGGAAGTACCTGTGGCCACCAGCTGGCTCAGATGCCACAGAACTCCACCCTTCTTGGAAAGTCCCCTGGGATCAGTGATGCTGCAAGCCTTGATTGGAGTCCTCTCTCCATCTCCCAAGTCACAATAATAACCAGGCGCTCTTCTCAGCACTTCACGTGTACTTATTAACTTGGATAATCCTCAATCCCGTTTTACAGATGGGGAAAGTGAGACAGAAAGAGGCTAAATAATTAGCCCACGTTCTTACAGCTATAAAGGGCAGGGCTGGGATTCAAACCCCACAAGTCTGGCTCCAGAGTCTTCACTCCTAATCAGCACACTGCACTGCCCCCAAGGCTGACTACAGGCTCCTCTGAGAGCACTACCATTTTCTGAGTTTCTGCTTCTAGAAGGCTGGGATGGTATGTGGAGAGACAATAGGAAGCAAGGAGAAAGACGTGAGCTTCTAGGTGAATTAGCGAAGTTCAGAACTGAGTGTCAGAGCTATCGAAGGCTCAGCCTTTTCTTCAGGCCAAGTTCTTGCAGGATCCACACAAAGGTTCTCCTGGGTCAAAGCTGACCCTCACAGAACCAGGGCAGCAGTGACCCTTAGGGGCTCAAAGCATGCACCATTCAAAGACCCCTCACCAGGATACATGTTACTCTGAACCTCCCTGACAGCCAGCCAGCCCAGTTCTTCTGGGAATCTCAGATGGCCCAGCTCTGCCATGGAAATGCCAGCTAAGAGCAGTGGCCACTGTGCAGGCTGCCTAGAGGGGCCATGTGCCCAGAGCAGTGTCAGGAGAAGCCGTTCCCTTCCTGCTGGTCTCTGATCCCATGTATGATCTGCCCTGTATAGCCCTTCAGGCCAGACAGGCCTCTGGGGCATGGGAAAGCGGCCAATTGTCCTATTTTAAAGCATCATCAAGGAAAAGCCAGAGACTGAGGCTGGAAAGAAAGGCCATGTGAGGACAGTCGGGGGCCTCCACCCTACATGGAGCTCATCTTGACTGAAGAGAAGATGCTGCTGAAACATGGTGAAAGCAAGAGGACTTGCCCTTGCTGACCCCTGGTTACTATGGCAGCTAATGCCCCACAAATTCCTTCACTTCCCAGGGCCCTGGCTGCTCTACCCAAGGCCTTCTGGGCCTGCACCACGTGAATCACTCACGGCATCTGGGCAGAGTGCGGATCCCAGGTGAGGTACAGTTCCCACCACACGGCTGTGAAGCCCAATGCCTGAAGTACCCACAAGCCTACTGATAAGAAAGAGAACCAGGGAAGACACCATCTCCAGATGCTGGCTATAAGATGACCTGAAACCGCTCAACACTCCCCTCCCACTTCAGAACTGTAGTCCTGGAACAGGCACTTGGATGGGAAGCAGGCTCAGAACTAGAACCTCCAGACCTGTGCCCAGGCTGATGAGGTGTGGGGGTAGGCACGCAGGGCCAGTGATCCCCTGGGTACCTGTAACATACTTACTTCTCACACCTTGGGCAGCACAGCTCAAAACAGACATCAGGATCACTGTCCAGGAGTGGCCTGGGTTAACCTTTGTCCTGGTGCCAGACTGGGCCTTGGTGCCATTCTCAGCAGAGTGGACAAGCATCAGCCCCAGGGCTCAGCTGATCCTTGGCCGGCAGGTGGGTGGCTTCCATGTGTGCCTGGGAATAAAGAGGAGGATTTCATTAGCTTACACCGCTCCCAGCTCCGAGCCACCAGGCCAGCCAGGCAGGCAGGCAGATCAAGGCTAACACTGCAAGGGCTTGCGCTCTGGGCTCGGCACCAGAAACTCATCCTGCCCAAGCCACCAGGGCACCTCTCCTGCAACCTGCCACCTCCTCTCTGCCGTCTGTTTGCCCAGATCTGGCTAATCCAGCCATGAAAGGCTGGTGTGGCTTCTGGACAATCCACGTGTGGGGTAAGGACTTAGAGCTTCTCACACTGCAAGTGAATGTGTGCACACTTGTAAATCTGAGTGGGCATATAATTTTAGAATCCAGCTCCATCCTCATTTAGCTTCAGATTACACTCTCCCCTTCACCCTACAGTGGGTACATTTGTTCTCAAGGTCAGTCAAGTACACGATGGGAGGCAGACAATGCAGGACGTTTGTCTTAGCATCCTGGGAATCAAGTACAACCGCAGAAAACAAGCAAACAATAAAATATGTACTAAAACCCTCTGCCTGCAATTCTACCACACTGATATTTCTCTCATTTTATTATTTTACCATGATTATCGTTGAGGCCCTTCCTATTAACGTCAACAACTTGCTACAAGCTGATATAAATCTTACTTTGCCACATACATATTTTTAATGGTATCCCTAAGACTTGACCATTTGATGGAAATTCCAACATTTTTTGTTTTAACACAAAGGTGCTGAAGCTTCCCTGAAAACCCCCTAGATACAGCACTGTCTGCAGGTGCCCATGGATGGAACTCAGGCCCAGTGTGGCCTTAAGGAAAGACAGACCAGCTGCTCAGAGCTGAGAACAGTATATGGCTGAGGTGTGGGATGGCACCATCCCCCCATGGATGCCAAGCAGGGCAAGCCACAGAGGTGCCAGCCTGTGCTGACATGCACACCCACCCTCCTCCCCCCAATTCCCAGGTTCTCCGAGCAGAAGCAACTCAGGTCTTTGCTCCTTAAGCTGGCACCTGGTGAGGCAGCAGGGAGCCGAGGAGAAGCAGAAGGGCAGGGGTGGGGGACCTGAAACTCACTGTGTGCCACCCTGGGTACCACCTCGGGGCCTCTGCACTGAGAAGCGAAGGGCAGGGGTGAGTGCAGTGGGCCTTGCCTCTGTCCCTCTCCAGCTCCTCCACACACAGGAACCTCCAGCCATCCCCAACCTGTCCATCCTCCTCCCTTCTCCCAGCCTGCCTGATGGTAGGCAGTGGTTACCCTGGTACGTACCTATCACCTTAAGAAAGGGCTTTAATGGGGCATGTCTGATACCCCCCACCACCAGCAACACCAGGACCCTGAGCCTGGGGAGTTCAATCCCACCCATGGGCACATCCTGCTCCCTGGGCCCTAAGCAGGCCATATCAACAGCACAAGTCCAAACCAAAACAGAAACAGGAACCAAAGACCATATCCTGCCAGCACAGGCTGCTTATTGCTGTAGTCCGCCCTGGAAACCTGCTGCTGGCTGAGGTGCTGACTGGCAGATGAAGCTGCAGTGGTCACAACAGGTCCCTCCCAGGCCAGCCTCTCACTGGACACCTCCTGCTTCCTGGTCTGCAGGCTTTCCCCCCAGAGATCTGGCAGGGGTGGACGAGATGATGATGTAGCAGGGGTCCCATCTCTTCTTCCAAGTGCACAAGCTATCCCCCGCCCCCTCCAACATTCCCTAGCCCCAAGAGCAGGTCCTAGGGTACAGAAGACATGAGGCTCCTTTGTGAACCACATGACCTGAACCAGAAGTTTTTGAAGCATATGAATGCGTGAAGGGCTCTTTTAGTAACTAACGTGTGGGTAGAACTTGTGCTTTTTCAAGTATATTGTCTCTCATGATTCCCCTGACTCCTGTGGTGCAAGGAGGGCAGAAACGATCACCTCCATTTAAGATGAAAACACTGAGGCTCAGGACATTAGAGGTTTGGCCAAATCCACATTTGATTCAAATCTCGGTCCTCAGGCTCCAGTCACTCCTGTCCCCACACCGTGTGTCTTCCACTGCTTCCCACCTAAATCTCATCCTTAAGGCCCACGTCCGCACACACCCATCTTCCATTCAGCGTAATCTACTTACTCCATTCCGTAAACCACTTATTTTGCAAACATACAGCTGAGTTTGTCCATCCAGCTTCTCCATCAACATGCCTGAGGAGCTCCTGGGAGACAGAAGGTGCAGAGACCACCTCACAGTTTCAAGCCCTGTCACCGCTCCCCACCTGTCTCTGCAGCCCACTCCTTCTTTCAGACCCTGCCTCTGCCTCACTCCTATGTGACACCGTCTCACAGCTCCAGGTCATTCCATCACTGATGTCTCATGTTCATGTGGGACTTTGACCATGTTTCTATTAAAACATGTTGTCCCATCTCAAAATTTCTTGTTTGGATCTCCATACTGGCATATTGGGACTGTCGCAAAAAAAAAATTAATTAAAAAAATTATATCATACAGGGCCGGCCCGGTGGCACACTGGATAGTGCGCCGCTTGGGAAGCGCGGCGGCGCTCCCGCCCGAGGGTTCGGGTCCCACATACAGACCGGTTCCCGCTCACTGGCTGAGCGAGGCGCGGGAGCAGCGCCGAGGGTTGCGATCCCGTTGCCGGTCCCGGTCCGGTGCAGGGGTGACACTGAGGGTTGCGATCCGATGCCGGACACGGAAAAAGACAAAAAAAAAATTATATCTTATGTGTCTGTTTCCCCCACCACACGAATTGAATGAATTCCTTAAGAGCATAGAACTTCTGCTGGATGTATGAACAAGCAAGGTGGAGAAGGGTCCAGCTAAATTCTTAGGTGATCGAGTCATCCAGTGTTATTAAGCAAACATAGTAATGTCAGGCATTCCTCTCCGGCTCTCTCCCACAAAGCGCCATAAACATTGGTTTACAGCAGTCCAGGCTGTTTCTGCAGATGAGAGGAGCAAGGAGGATGCTCTCTCTCCTTTCTCTCATCTCCAAGAGCCATCACACGGGCTGGGAGGTGAGGAGAGACAGAGTGGGTGGCTTGGGTCTGGACGATACAGCAGACATGTTCAATATCACACCAGGAGGGCAGGGGCAGGAACAGAGTGCCCCAGGCGCCCACATGGGCACCGGGCCAAGTGCGGGTTCAGGTCAGAGAACAACAATGCCTATGCTGTTACTTCTACAACGCGCTGGCACTCTCAAGAGGCACATCCAGTTTTCACGCACGTAGGATTCATTGCCCAAAGAGGTTTAACCAGCAGCTGCTGGCAGGAAATTCCCTCTGCATCATTTTTTTCCTCCCCTATCACTATTTAGGGTAAGCTCGGCTTGCAGGATTGAGTCTCTGCTTCTCTGACCACAGCGTAAAGACCAAATCCTCCTCCCCCTCCCCCCACCATCTCCATGGCCTGGAACCTAGGGCAGGAGCCAGGGAGCCTGCAAGCAAACACTGTCCCTTTTGCTTTCCCACCTCCTCTTCCTCCCATAGCTGCCTGTAAAAGGAAAAACAACAACAAAAAAAACCAAACAAAAACAAACCTGTTTTTCCTTCTACTCTCATAATCAACACAGGACACTTCTGTGACCAGATGTGTGGGGGTCCCCCCCACACCGGGCAATTCTCCAGCAGACACCAACTGGGTGTCCTACAGTTCATTTCAACTTTGTCACTTTCTACCCCAAGAAAGTGTCAGAGCCCACATTTTGAGGGCTCAGTCTCACAAGACTGCCCCACTTCAGACACCAATCACAAGTAGATTGTCACTGACTAGGGAGAATGACATTGGTCCAGTCAAAGCACCTAAAATGGAGCTGGGAGGCCATCTCAGCTTGAGTTTCAGGCATGTCTTAACGGACGCCATCTCAGCTTGAGTTTCAGGCATGTCTTAACTGAGAACATTCTGGAATCTTGAACTCACACCACCACAAGGGTCACAACCTCCTGGAGGAACAACTGCCACTGTTTGTTACTTTTCACCACTTCGGACTAACACCCATCTCAGAGAACTGCTACAGCCAACCCCTTGCAGTCAAGGCTGTTTGACACATGTTAACACCAATCGCAGCCTTTGTAACTGCACTCTCCTTTTCCCAGGCATTTTCTTGTAAATACCCTGACTGTCCTTTGTTCTCTGGAGCACGTGTTCAAGAGTTCTTGGATCTACGTCTTCCAGGCTACAGCCCAAACAAGCTCTCAAATAAACCTTCTTCGTTTGATTCTCAAACAGGTGGTCATTTCACATTGACTGATATCACCTATACCTCTGGCCCACTGGTAACAAACCAGGGTTCCCATGACCTGCTCCTTGGGCTTGATTAATTTGCCAGGATGGCTCCCAGAACTCAGAGAAAGACCTAGTTTACCAGTTTATTATGAAGGATACAGATGAAGAGCTTGAGGAAGAGATGGACAGGGTAAGGTATGGGGTACGGGGGTGCCCCAGCACATCCACGTGTTCAGCAACTCAGAAGCTCAACAAGTATGGCTGTTCAAGAGTTGTTTTGTTTTGTTTTTGGTTTTTGGCAGCTGGCCAGTGTGGGGGACCCAACCAAGAGTTTTTATAGAACTTGAGCTATAGCCCCCTACGCCTTTCCTGGAGGTTGGTGGGAAGGACTGAAAGATCTCTAATCACTGGATCTTTCTGGGGACTGGTCCCTTCCTGAGGCTATCCAGGGGCCCCACCCTGAGTCGCCTCGTTAGCATAAACTCCAGTGTGACCAAAGGGGCTCATCATGAATAACAAAAGACACTCCCAGCAAGGAGGACAAGAACCAGGGACAAAGACTAGACATATTTCTTATTGTACCACACTCTCCCACCCAGGTGCCCACAAAGTAAAGAGAAGATGCCCCAGAAACCCACTGGGTAGTCCTCTGGTTACTCAAAGCCCCCCAGTTCCTCCCAAGTGACCCAGAACTTATCCTGTACTAAGACCAGCCCTGAACACTGTGGATTTGGAAACTCCCAAAAAAAGGAGTGACCAGCTCAGCTACAAGTGCAATTGGTATTCCAAAT